CTGAACAAAATGGTAATATAAAAATAGCTCTGTTAAAATTAGTGCAAAGTGACGATATTTCAGCGAAGGTTATAGAACAGAAGTTCTTAATATCAGGACATTTGTTATTACCGAATGATTCAGATTTTGGATGTGTTCAATCTGCAGCACGCCATACATCTATTTACATCCATAAAGATTGGTATCGCTGTATGAAAACTGCTCGACATTCCAAAAAGTTTTTGTGGTTTATCAAATGAAAAGAAACGAATTTTTTTAACTAAACAGCTAGAACGGTCTATAACAAAGCGTAAGAAAAATACATTACTATAAACTGTAAATTGGCTCACCAGTCAGTGGTTATACTATGAACGTGGAAAACAGTTTGATATTTTGTATAAAACTAAGATTTCTGTGGATGTTGAGTTTGAAATATTCAGCGTGCTCGGAGTGGCAGACAATTGCAGTTGAAAAATATAATGCACGAAAATTTATATCCATCTGTGCGTCCTGTTTACGCATCCAAAAAAAGGACATGTTAGATTTACTGAAATTTATCCCTCCAATTCCTCATGCATTTTTTCAAGCATTAAAGACCCAGTACAATTGAAGAAACTGGTGAAGAATCCAGCAACGAATAAGTTTCTTTCATACATAATATACAGCAAACTTGTAGTGCATTAAAGATAACATTTGAGTAACTTATGATTATTAATACATTAATAGCCATATGGCATGAGACAAAAATATGGATTTTACTTTTAAGTTATAATGACATAATTATTATTCTTTCGCGTTATCCGATTACAATAAAGTTACATTGTGTATTTAATTTTTTGTACGATATTACACGGAAGTCCAATTTCTACAGTATTAAAAAAAGGGACTTAATTCACTTGTCAACTAAGGGACTCGAATGATACTAATTGTTTCAATAACGAATTCTTTATTTTTTCAGATAAACATGTAACTCTTCTTTGTTTTGCTTTGATTTTTCATAAAAATATACCATAGGTGCATTCGTCTTGCATTTGACGAGTAAACACTTTAGTTTTTGATTTTATTGCGAGTACAATGAGAGATTTTTGAAACGAAAGTCTACAGTTAACAGGTTAAACGTCATAGCTTTATTTCGTTTTACTTATTTCATCGTGAAATGAATCACTTTACGTCCTAGTACAGACTGTACTAACTTATCATGATTATGACATAAGCTCAAGAATTTGTATAACTTCATTATAAGTTTTACGGATACACTAACAACTTTAACAGTCTCACTATACGCATGCTTATCGACCACTCATAATGGCAGAGTACTGACAAGGTGTAATTTTGAAGCAATTCGTATCCAAAACTCAAACATAAATCATAACATGGCTGTTGTAAGAAGCGTAAATCGGTACATGGCAGTAACCATAGCTCTGAATTTGTCAAAAGTTTCCTGTATCTTGGAAACTGAGACTGAGTAATAGTAACATGTATAGGGAAAAGTTGTGTAGAATGGTTAGGTCTTGAAAATATATTTCAAGGTCATTGAAATCAACTAGGAGGTTCCTTTTATAAATAATTATCAAAATACATTTTTTCTTCTTGCATCTGAAACCACTCATTTCCTTGTACCGTTGGATCGAAAACACCTTGTACAAGGGTGGTATAAAAATTGTATATAAAGAGCACTGTGCCATGATTCTACACTTTCGGATCGGTAAAGATTTGGTTAAAAAAGTTCCTGCAAAATTGACCTTAACCTTGAACTTCAAAGCCAAATATTTTGTTATTGTAATGTATTCTACTTGTTACGAGAAAAAAGTCTCACAGGAACTAGGGGTCGGAAAATAAATTAATCGTCTTCTTGAAAGAAATAAATAAAGATTAATAAATTCCAGAGATCATTTTATGCATAATGTGCTTATGTCTTGAGCTCAAGTGTAGCGATAATTGAATACAGGTGTTGTTGTAGCAAATACATAGCGTAGAATTACTATTGTGCACCTCCCTTTTCTTTGAATCAATTCTTTTAGTTTCTTCTTTATCCTTTACTATTTAGTTCATTCGCATCACGGAGCGGAATATTTCACGCGCCGCGTTGGGCCTTTGTCATCCAACGCAGGGTAAACATCTGGGTAGCGGAATTTTATGACATACCCTTCACAGCTATAATATCACGTTACTTGGATGTTCACAGTAGCTAACCGCGGATTATTCCGCTTCGCGATGCGAATGAACTAAATAGCAAAGGATAAAATAGAAAGTAAAAGAATGAATTCAGACAAAAGAGGGATGCATAATAGTAATTCTACGGTATGTATCTGCTGCAATACCACCTGTTCTTAATTCTCACAGCACTTGACTTCAGAATATAAGCATATTATGTATAAAACGATCTCTAGAATGTAGTTTTTAACTACTTTTTCCAAGGAAAAAGTTGAGTTTCCTCTGATTATTTTAAGACTTTCTTCCTCGTAATGAGTGAAATACACTATGATAAAAAAAAAATTTGACCTTGAAATTCAAAGTCAAGCTGAATTTTGCATACTTTTTTTTATGAAATCTTCACTGATCCAGAGGTGTAGAACCGCACTGCAGTGCTCTTTACATACAATTTTTACACACCATGTACATGCTTAAATTCTACACACCGTTCACCGTAAAATACAAAGTTCATGGAGAAGTTACTCATTCAATTTTAAAAGATAAGTACGAAAATTCCATATTCTTAGTTGATATAATAAATATTAGAAAAATTTCTAGTAAATGTTTACATTAGGGGAAGTTGCTCGATGACCTTGATCTTGACATATATTGTCAGGGCATGATTTTGAAACTTTTCACTATGCCTATTGCCGCCAATTTAGTTTAATTTCCGTGATATTTGTAAAAATTTACTCGGAGAAGGAGTGTCATGGTAATTATTCAAATAAAATGTTACGTCACGTATGACCTTGACCTTGATCTTGGAATATGTTGTTAAAGTTAGTATTCTGAATGTCTGGAACTTTAAATTTTTTGATGGTCACGATTTGTTTAAAAGTCATAAAGTATTAAAATTTTACATCGCACTTAAATATTTCCCATTTACTTTCACTTATTAACGTCGTTTCTTGTAATATGTGAACACGAGTTTCATTTAAACAACAGAGACTATTATTAGCGGTGCAGTAAACAATGGGTAATTGTAACAACATCATCCCCGCCATACCCCTACCATGTTTCTTTTAACTTGTTAACTGTGGAATTTAGTTTAAAATATCTCTCATTCTGCTGGCAATGCAATAAAAAATGAAGTGTGTACTCGTCGAACGCAGGATGAATGATACCTAGGCTATATTTTAACCGTTCGAATCCCACACGCCGTTTTGGCGCTCGTCAGATTTCATGTCGAAAAAAGCCAGCGCATTTGAACGATACGGACAACTGACGGTGCACTCACAATTCGGCGAAACGCGCTCAACTTTTCAGGCGCATGTACGTTGCATCGCTACTTTTTTGTATATAGGTAATCCAAGTAATACATTTTGTATTTAGTTGTTACGTATTATAAATTAATATATGTATATAATACAATAGTATTAACATAGATTAAGACAAGCGCTACCGCGCTGTTTGGCTTTTCCAGGCACAGAATAAAAGGAGCGCTATCGCGCCGCTTGGATGTTTTCGCATCCTATTCAGAAAGTTCTATTGCGCTGTTCGGCTTTTTTCGACCATGTTTTTTAAAAACCTTTGGTACTCAAACGGTTAATAAAAAACCAAACCAAAACAAAAAAGAATTATGTACCATTCGTCTCTTCCCCTCTGGAACATGCTCCGTCAGCTATCCGGGTTGGAGGGCAAGGGGAAACATGCATTAGCCGCGGTCTGCCCGATAGTTATGGCGGCACAATTTCAGTACATCTTTGTTATTGGCCGAGACCTCTTCATTTTTTAACCGCAGGTAACTGGCTAACTATTGTCGACCTCGACGATTTCAATGTCACTTTCTCTTCTATTCCCAGTCATTTTCTATATCCGAAACTTCAATCGCTTATTATACAAGCTATTATGATCGTAATTCTATCGTGTTTGGTGTCATTTTAATCAGGAAAACACAGAAAACATGATGGTGAAAGTTTCATTCATCAAAAGTCAAAAACAAGAAAGTTTGATGTTTGATGTTTGAGGTTTCAAGCTCATCGCGAGCTTTTAGTGTTGCAGAACGCTTCGACTGTCAGTCTTTTTTTCCTTTTATTTACGTTGTCTTTTTCTACGTCTGCCATGCTAAAATCTCCGTTTCTTAGGGTAAATTCGGTTCTATCTCTTGATAATTACAACCTTCCGGTCCCGTTGAGTGTCGAAATTATCCAATGTTCACTGTACTGGTTTTCCCAGGGGACGACAGTTTCGTGAGTCCAGCCCATCTTATTAGTTCATAATTGCCAAAACTTCTATCAAACTGTAAGGACTGACCAGGTCCTTCCAGATTAGTATGCAATCCCACTTTGCAAAAAACTAGTCCCACTAACATCAATATCTAACTACTTAAATAAAACTGCTGTAAATACATTGTAAGAAACGACGGCAGCAAGTGAAAGTGAAGGCGAATTTGAGCTTGATACGAAATTTTAATGTTATAGAACTGTTGAAGTAATTGTGACAGTTAAAAAATGTAAAGTGTCAAGCACTCGTAACAGTGACCTTAGTTAATATAAGTAGTATTTTGTGCTATAGTTTACTTCATTTAAATAAGGTTCATGCTGCGAATAGCAAAATAGCACATATAGTACCAAATATATATTTTTGTTAATATTTGAAAAACTAAGGCCATTTACGACAATGGCATGTATAAATAAAAGTTTCTTGAAATCATGTCCTTCACAACAGATTTTTCAATGAAAGTCATTGGCGCGGATTCCCTTAATGTAAACATTTATAAAACTTTTTATAATTATATAGTTTGAGGCAAATACTTAAACTAAAATTCATAACGGATCTATACTATAAATTAATTAATCTCATTTTCAATTGATTGATTAATACTTTACCCATATTAACAAGTTGAATGTGAACAGAATGATTTTCAAATATTTCATGCTGACTTTTTACAAGACATCAAGTAGTCGTCAATCTGAAATCATAACGTTACTCATGTGAGTTGTTTAATTAATTACGGATAAGTAATTATAATTTATTATTATGTTAAACGCTAGTATAGAGATATTTCAACATTAAAAGAGAATTTAAACTGTTTCGTTATTTTCAACAATCAAGCGTTTTTGAGTAAACATAAAGAAATGTTTCTTCTTTTTTACTGCGATTGTATCTGTTGAAAAATTAGATTTTGGAATTCTAGCGCAGATACTGTAACTTTGATTAATGTAAATTCGGATTCCTAGTTCGATTTACCTCTCAATTTACTAACTGTATATA